CTTGTTTTACGTAATATTAGGGAGGGGTATGCAGAATACTGGGAACACAGAGAAAGAACTGTGGGAGCTTCCAAATTCTTCTGGGGGCACCTTTTAAAAGGCTTTGCAGAACTGATGCCATTTGAATTCAGATTTGAAAGATAAGCAGGGTTTTGAATAGTATTGATGGAAAAGAGGGCTGGGAACAGCAAGGACACAGTCTCTAAGGCAGAGAGGTAGAGAGCAGGCATGAGCAGAGGGTTGTAGGAGAGCTTATGTAGGCACAGGGCACCCACAGCCCAAGTGGAGTAAGGAACAGTAACAGAAGGTGGACAGGTACCGTAGCAGGCTGCACAGCAGCACAGCTCTGAAGGCTTCTGAACGGGGTAGCTATATCATTAGATCCAGTTTTAGGATAATAGCCAGGAAAACAAAGTGAAAGACGAGATGGGAGGCAAGAAGCCCATGCAGGGGACTAATGGGAGTCCCGGGAAGCACAGCCTCAATGAGAGAGAAGAGGAGGGATGGACACCAGCTGGCTCCTGCACGTCGTCTTTTCGGTCTTCAGTCCCGGGTGGTTTTTCTTATGATGTCAGTTACTGCACGTACATTTTGTTACTGCTGTTTTTGTTGTGTTTTTTTCACTTCGGCCTCCTTTCCTTTTCTAAAATAACAGGATGGAAAGAAAGAGCCCATTCCTTCCATCTTTACCTCTCCACAGCAGCAGCACTCNGGGTGGGTGTGTGCATGTCTTAGAGAAATGGAGAATGGTGCCATGTAACATGGTTTATTCCCCAAGTGCCTGATAAATCACATGCGAGCCCCACTCTGTCCTTCAGAGACAGGCGTTTCACGTGCAGACACGTCTTTTTTCTTTCCTACTTCTTTATTTCCTTCTCCCTGTGGGATCCCAGGCAGCACACAGTTAGGTAACAAAGGACTATCAGGAAAACATCCTCTAGGCGGAGTGTATTTGTTTCCATGGTTCCTGAGAAGTTAGAGTGAAGGAAGGAGGTGAAACTTGGGAGCTGAAAGTAAATCTATTCTTTTCTCCTTTCAGTGCATA